TGGGTGTGTTTCCTCTTTTTAATTTCTAAGAAGGGGGACTCGAGGGAGTACAGCAATTAACCGGATAATCACTCACCTCAGCATACCCTTTATGGTTTATGCCAAGGTGCTGGAAAGGTGAGTTGGACGGGAGAGGATGAGTGCAGATCGAGTGAAGGGCACAGCTCTCCACTCGACACCTCATTCTCGAGAAACATTAGGAGCATTACAATAATGTTTGCATGCACTTTGAGGATCCTGGAAAGCATGCGACCTTGTGCTTCAAAGGGAAGCCGAGAGCTGCAGGAGAATGCGATTAACGGTCGGCTGCTGCGGAGCATTAAGTCCCTTTCAGTGATAGCAGGCATTGCGCCCGAGCAAGCGGGACGAGAGGACTCCTTCACGGTACGTGTCGGGCTCCGCCAGGGGTGCGTTCTTTCTCCTTTACCTCCTGTACATAAACAGGATCCAAAGGCGCAGCCATAGCTTTGGGGGGTCAACATTGGCGGTAATTGGAGGTTAAGATACTTCTTTTTGCCAATGATACTGTCGTCCTGACCCATTCTCGACGGGTCTCAGAGGGTGCTGGACTGGTTCGACGGCTGGAACGAAACTCAGCATTCCCAAAATTCACAGGCTATCATCCTCTCTAGGGAAGTCCCACCAGGACAGGGGAGATGTTTATGCACCTCGGGGTCTGACTCTCGAATGATGGGCGATACGGAAACGAGATCGACAGGCGCATCTTCAGGGCTTCTGCAGTTTTGCGGGAACTCTGGTGACCGTGGTTGCCAAATCTGAAGTTTAAGAGACGACGAAACAATATTTTTCTTAAAGAGCGCTTTACACCTCACTTACCACCCTCACCCTTAGGTGAGGGTGGTAAGCGCCCCTGATCCCTGAATTGGAAAGTTTTCATTATATGGAGAGTCACTGCAAAGTTAATCTTGAGTGACACAACTGGTTCTGATTCTGTCCATGAGAAAACTAAACTGAAAATTTGGCGCTGCAATTTATGCCTGAAATCTCTGGAAAAAAGAGCACCATGAGAAAAATAAAAGACTTAACTTATAAGTTGTCCTACCATTCATTAAATAAAGTGACAAGAGTTGCTCCTTAAGTGGTTAGCTAAGACGGAGTGAATTTTATTTGAGTTTTGCAGTNGGTGACACTGTGAAAAGGAGGGTAAAAGGTTGTCTCAAAGGGGATGTGGTACAAATTTGGAGGTTGACTAGGAGAGATGAGAGTTGAAATTTGTGTGGAAGAGGGTGACACATTTGTACAGGAACAATTGACCCTATAGTTTTTTTTTTTACATTGGGAACAAGTGATGAAGTGATGGGCTTTGGAGTTTGAAGTTTTTTTTTGGCATTTTCAGTCATTTTGTTTTTCACATTCCACGAGTATAGGCCAGATTTTCCTGGAGTCTCTTTCCAACAGTTGAAGGATTCTTTTTGGAAAACCCCCATTTTTTATTTTTTACCTGCAACAGCAGCTCTCTCCTGTTTACTGAGGGGTACATGGGACAGAATCCAGAATCAGGACTACAACTTGCCTTGGGCTTTGAGACATCAGATTTTCTTGCCTTTTGTTGTACAGGGTGTGGCACAAAAAGTCCCTCATTTTGAAAGCAATTAAACAATTTCGCTATCGATATAGAAACGTTTTGTTATTACAATATTTTGTTAGCAATATTATAGGAGACATACTGATACATGGGCAAGCTCTCAAAGTTTTACTGATTATATATGCTCTAAATCTCCTACCAGAAGGTCAGCACACTTGCAACCATGTAGGGCACAGTTTCTGATCGTAGCTTGAAGATTTTCATGCTCAATTGGTGAAATGATTCTTTCCATCATACCCTTGAGGTCAGGGATAACCATAGTGTCAATAAATACCAACATTTCAATCAATAGACCAGGGGTGGCCAAACTGTGGCTCGAGAGCCGCATGCGGCTCCCGAGCAGTTTGAGTGTGGCTCGCAGTGAAATGCTCTCAACTCTAAAGTCCAGAGAATGCATGTGTAAAATGGTGTGTCTTGTGGCTCTCGACCATATGAACCTATTATATGGTTCGTAAAGTCAGGAGGTTTGGCTACTCCTGCAATAGACTAATAACACCATCAACTAAGCAAAAATGTTTCTTAGAGTAATAGTAAAAATATTTTAAAACAGCGAAGTGGGCTGCTTCTTGTGTGCGGAAGTGAAATTCCTGAATTCCTTCCCATAGGATTTCTGAAGATGCTTATGGCGAGAATATACAAAAGAAAATACTTGCAAGATATCTAAACTTGGTCTACAAATGGTCCATAAGGTATCAGCATATTCTCTTACAAGGTTGTGTTCTGAATAACAGGCAAATTGTGGATGGGATAATGCTTTCAATGCACAATCCTCTAGGGGATTGAGTTGAACTTCTGTTCACATCCCAGGAACATCTGTGATCAAGCTGAGGTTAGCTTTCTCCATGTTAATGGAGAAAGATTTTTTTTTAATGTCAACATCACGCATGAGCTCTGTTCAAGTGTTTGGCTTTTTTGCACGCATTTCACCATGAAGAAGGTTCTACAAGCCATCTCTAACTTAAAGAGTGGAAAGTTTCCTGGTGTGCATTAAATCCGGGCAGAGGCAATGAAAGCACTGGAATCGTTGGGTGCTCATGATCGCTTAAGGTGTGTTGAACCGCATGGGAATTGGGAACAGCATCAATGGATTGGAAGATGGGTGTGTTTCCTCTTTTTAATTTCTAAGAAGGGGGACTCGAGGGAGTACAGCAATTAACCGGATAATCACTCACCTCAGCATACCCTTTATGGTTTATGCCAAGGTGCTGGAAAGGTGAGTTGGAGAAGTGACGGGAGAGGATGAGTGCAGATCGAGTGAAGGGCACAGCTCTCCACTCGACACCTCGTTCTCGAGAAACATTAGGAGCATTACAATAATGTTTGCATGCACTTTGAGGATCCTGGAAAGCATGCGACCTTGTGCTTCAAAGGGAAGCCGAGAGCTGCAGGAGAACGCGATTAACGGTCGGCTGCTGCGGGGCATTAAGTCCCTTTCAGTGATAGCAGGCATTGCGCCCGAGCAAGCGGGACGAGAGGACTCCTTCACGGTACGTGTCGGGCTCCGCCAGGGGTGCCTTCTTTCTCCTTTACCTCCTGTACATAAACAGGATCCAAAGGCGCAGCCATAGCTTTGGGTGGTCAACATTGGCGGTAATTGGAGGTTAAGATACTTCTTTTTGCCAATGATACTGTCGTCCTGACCCATTCTCGACGGGTCTCAGAGGGTGCTGGACTGGTTCGACGGCTGGAACGAAACTCAGCATCCCCAAAATTCACAGGCTATCATCCTCTCTAGGGAAGTCCCACCGGGACAGGGGAGATGTTTATGCACCTCGGGGTCTGACTCTCGAATGATGGGCGATACGGAAACGAGATCGACAGGCGCATCTTCAGGGCTTCTGTAGTTTTGCGGGAACTCTGGTGACCGTGGTTGCCAAATCTGAAGTTTAAGAGAAGGCGAAACAATATTTTTCTTAAAGAGTGCTTTACACCTCACTTACCACCCTCACCCTTAGGTGAGGGTGGTAAGCGCCCCTGATCTAATTGGAAAGTTTTCATTATATGGAGAGTCACTGCAAAGTTAATCTTGAGTGACACAACTGGTTCTGATTCTGTCCATGAGAAAACTAAACTGAAAATTTGGCGCTGCAATTTATGCCTGAAATCTCTGGAAAAAAGAGCACCATGAGAAAAATAAAAGACTTAACTTATAAGTTGTCCTACCATTCATTAAATAAAGTGACAAGAGTTGCTCCTTAAGTGGTTAGCTAAGACGGAGTGAATTTTATTTGAGTTTTGCAGTCGACCTTGGCTTCTACGTTAGCATTTTCAATTGTTCAGGCTCTGCATCACACAGAAACGCTTCTTTGTCACTGAATGTCCGAACATGGATGTGTTCCATCAGCTTCATCAATGCGCTTCAGTGTCTGGGGGCAAATATATGAAGGAACTGCAACAGGCAGACTGAAAAGAAAATTTACTCACATCTTACACCAATGGAAAAGCAACAGATTGCACCTGGCATCCCGAAGGGAAAAAATGTTAATGGTCACTGTCAGACCTAATTGCAGCCAATATGTAACAAAATCACGAACTCCTCCCCTCGACAAAGCCTCGCCCGTGAAAGATGGTGCAGCTGCAGCTGCAGCAGAGCCTCACGTCCAGACTGGCTTGCGCTTCTCGGCGAACGCTTTCATTCCTTCTTGACCGTCTTTTAATGCCAGGTTCTCCACCATCACCTGCTCTCCGATCCTGGATGTACAAGCTTTATTTCAGTACGAATGGCTACACCTCAGAGGATCTGCTGTCGTGCTGAATATTTATTTTAGTTTATTTTTTCTCTTTGACGTCCATTCCTGGTGTATCTTTATTTTCATTAGAACTACTCATAAATGAACTGGTTTGGACCACTGCATACCAGACAAGGGCTCAGTCTTGGGGCTTCAAGGATTCAAGGTTACTGTTATGAACTCAAGCACTAGCCAGAGAGGTTTCTGAAGATGTACATTCATGGAGAAAAGGCATTTGTACCTTTAAAACAATAATCTGATTTATGCCAGGGCCCCTTAGCAAAATCCTAACTTTCAAGGAAAGTCAAAAGTTTTGGGATTATGCCAGGATCTGGATCTGATACATCCAAATAGATGTGTCAGTTTACCATTTAAAAGTAAAGAAACAAAACAAATTAAAAAGACAGTGAAATTGCAGTTGCTTTTCGCAGTCAGAATGGAGAACAAAAACACTATTCTAATTGATGACATATTCTGCTCCTGTTTTGTCTTTAGAAAGTTTAATGAAAAATGAAAGTGAGAATACATCCGAATAGTGACCTGGAAACACAATGGCAATAATACTCTGCGATCTTAACCTTGAAAGTAGAAGATAAGTTTTTAGAGCATTAAGTTGATGGAGCAGAAAAATTCAAGAACAATTTACACCCTTGAAATTTTGCAAGGAAAAGAAGACATTTTAAAATGTAAATTTGATTGAATTTTCTGAATGTTATAGTAAAATACCCATCTCACCATAGCCATAAGTGATACATGCAAAGCCTTCAGAGGAGAATCTATCCCTTGAAGTGAAAATCCGTTGACTCAAATGGAGGCAATAAAAAATTGATATTTCCAATGAATCTTTCCCAGTAACACTGTTGTAAGAGGACTGATTCACATAGGTGCTTTCTTCTTCCCACAATATAAGAATGTGATATTTAACTCTGCTGATGGGTTGTGGGGCAGAAAAGAATTTGGCAGGGGCAAGTGTATTTGGCATAAGGCAGAAGTGTACACACTAGCATTTCAGGACAGGACAATAGCTCCATTTCTGGGATAGTTGTAACAGAAGCAAGCAAGAACCTGTAGGCATGTTCCATAGGAAGTTCTTTTTGCTGATGATAGAAGGACTTGCCCATCTCAATTACAGCCCGACTCTTGTTGCGGATGTCTTCCAACATCTTCTCCAGCTCCTCATCTGTGTAAAAAAATAAATAAATGAAGCCTGGCTTAGAAATGAAGAGTTCTCACAATTTCCAGGAATGGACTTGCCAAGTTTTTCATCTGGGACAACCCTGCTGACTAAGCCAGCCACATGTGCCTCCTGAGCTGTAATGGGTCGACCAGTGAACAGCATGTAAGCTGCCATCTTATGAGACATAGAACGTGTCACAGCAATTCCAGGGGTGGAGCAAAAGAGGCCAAAGTTTGCCCTACACAGAGAGGCACACAGTGTTTTTCTCCTTTTTTTTTTCCAAACTCCATGTTTTACTTTTAATGAATGAATTTGAGCATCCTTAAGATTCATTTCATAATGGCAAAACTTAGCAAAATATATTCAATGACCCTGAACACCAACTTCACATTATTTGCAGATCAATTTTTATATAAACCTACCCAGGTGTGGAGAAGGAAGCCTTGTCACCAGCTATGACAAGATCACAGGAGGCAACCAACTGGCAACCTGCTGCAGCAGCCAGGCCTCTCACCTTGGCTATGACTGGAACTGGTAACTTGGGGATGGCTGTCATCATCTCTGTGCATAAGCTAAACACCTTCTGGTGGTATTCTCGGCCTTCCTTCTCCGTCTTTGTGAAATCCAAAGCAAAAGAATGCTCCATCCATTTCCAAATGTCGCTTAAAGTACCAGTAAGCCATTATTCCTAACTAACTCATAACTCAGAGATTCAATTCAACAACACAAGAGATGACAAGTCCAACAAATTATCAGTGGGCAGTGCAGTGAAATTTCAGAAAAAGCTTAGAAACTTGAGAAGGTCCAAAGGTTGACTTATTTTAGTATTATTCATGGGGAATCCCTGAAATGCTAAGTAAGCTGAATATCATATACCACAATACTGTTAAATTTGAGTCTCAGATTTTAAAACATCTTAGTAACCCATCAGATGAGAGATAGTATGCCTGGAGAGTAAGCATAATTTAATGGGCTTATTTTCTTATAACAAATTGGGGTGCTTCATACAATTCATAACAAACTTGTTTACTGCATTATAAAGACAATGACTAGCATACCAATTCCTTAAGATTGTGTCCTGAAGAGAAGACAGGTCCTTCAGAAGAGATTACAATAGCTCTCAGCTCCGCATTACTTGAGTCACGAATCAGAGACCCTTGAATGGCCTTCATCATTTCCAAGGACAAAGAATTTCTAGAACATATCTTCTTCATATTAGAAATATGCAATACACAAGCAAAGCAGAGGAACCAAAAAAGAACAGGATGCACATGCCTGGTTTTTGGGCTGTTCAAAACTATCCTCCGCACTCCATTCTCAAAGGAACAGGAAATGAGGTGATCAGAATGATGCCAGAAACGTTTTATAACCACCCTGGCAACTGATCCTTGCACCAGGGACTGGCCCCAGCTTGAGTACATGTTATATTCTGTGCCTTGGCAGGTTCTTCATCAAAATGAAGACAAGAGTCACGAGATTGAATTTTTTTTTAAAAGAAAGAGGGGTTTAGGAAGGAATGATAGCTGCAAAAATGTTTAAAAACAAACCAGTAATGTTGAAAGGTAAAAATGTATGCGTCATACTAAGTTGAGGATGATTAGTATCAGATCAACACCAGTGTTAAAAAAATTTTGATGAAGAGGAAATGCCAAATTCCTTAGGTTAGTTAAGGAATAGATGAATAGAAGTTCCAGGCATAACAAAGTCAGCAACGGTCCCAGGAAAAGGGGATCTCTGTATCTGTATCTGCTATTGTAATTGATCCTGAATTTAAATAGAACAATTGCTTGCTTTTAGAAGTCAGAAGTTCTTGATTTAGCTTTTCAACTGGCATGATATTCATACTTTATGGCATACCAGTGACATCCAAATTTAACTATCAAAACTAAAAACTGCTTTCTGGCAGTTACACTGAACACAATGTTCACTGCTTTGCTGAAACAGATTTTTGGCTCTGCAATGAATTTTTTCCATACCTCTGCTCCTCAGCAAGAGGGAGATATTACCAAAATCTACATGTTCTATGGATTAATCCATGACTCTTTCCTATTGGGTCTGATGAAAAAGGACAGTTCAGCTTCACTTGAAGTAACCCTGAGAAGTGTGCTCAACACTTCTTGTGGTCATTTACCTCAGAGATACTCATTCATTTACGAAGAATTTGACCACAATTCATTTTGACTCCAAAGAAGAAGATACTCAATTGTTTGATATCTGGGTGCGTGGATAAATAAAGAGCATGTTATACTCTCTCCACTTGGAGACAGTAGAAAAATGAGTTCCTCCTATTTCTAAATTTCATCCTTTGACATATTTGATTTTTGACGAGATAAGTAGTTCATTTTCCGACATTCCTAAATGTATCACAGGAAAATGACATGTCTCTTTGGTGGCTTTGAAATCTGATCCTTTACAATGCAAAATGCAGCATTCATCTAATTCTCCATGGCATGGGTCATAAGTAGGGATGGGTTATTGACCAGTCAATTAAAAACATGTCAATTGACCAGTCAATATGGTCAACTATGGTCAATTTTGGTAAATAGGACCAACTTTTATTCATTTATTTAATTTTTTATCTGTAGTTTTTGCACCATTATATGTCATGAGTCACAAGTGATAGACTGGTCAATTAAAATGGTCAATTAAAAGGTGGTCAATTGACTGCCCCATCCCTAGTCATAAGTTACAATTTAAAAAGTACAGAATAATAGCTTTGTCCAGATAGTCACCTGTCCAGCTTCCCAAAGCTTCTTAGTCAGGGGTGAACAGACTTAAAAAATGGTTGGTCACCACTGGCAGACTGTGAGAAAAATGTGGGCCATTGTAGTTGCAAAAGTTTTCTATTCTAACTTAAAGCAGAGAAAATGCCAGGATGTGGAGAAAGCTCAGATCTCAACACTTTTGCATTTAGGCTGCCTGTGGCCTGGAGGCATAATTTTTTGCATCCCTGCTCTAGCTCCACATCCCTGCTACAGGCTAAGGTGAAGAGCCATGGAATGAAACAGTAAGGACAGTTGCAACCTACAAAGGGGTGAATGAATAAAAATCATGACTGGTTCTGTGACTCCCTTATTCCTTGATGTACAGATGTTAATTCTTATAAGAAACTTGTACTGGGTCTTAACATTTCCCCTATCGATTTTCCTTAGAAAATTTTCAGAACCTTTCTTCAATGGACTTTGACTGCCCTGAGAAAAACAAGCAAGGCATTTGATATAACCAAATGTGAATTTCAGAGCACCATGACATTTTAGCTGAAATACAAGGATGTGCCAATGAAACTTACAAGCATGTTGTGTGTTGCTACTGTACTCATGGAGCAGATATCTGATCCTGCTTAATGATTTTCAACATGTGTCAGGTTGTAAAGGTGAAATTTAGACATTTTCCAGAAAACAATTCATTGACAATTAACTCAACAACGACTAGAGTGCAGTCTTGCGTCAATGTATCTGTTGTAGGTTCACGATAAGCACTCACGCCCACAATGCCCACTGGTCAGGTGTATAAGTAGAGTACTTATACACCTACATAGAAAGTTCTAACATTTTCCAGATTTTTCTAGAAAAAATCGCAATGTCCAAATTTCACTTTTACAACCTGATACAACAAATGGTTAAGAAATGAAAGACAACTTGGCAAATATGTCACGCTTGTGGATTTGCACGACCACATCAAACATCTTTGAAGTTCGAATCGGTACCATTCGCAACAGAGAAAGGAGTTTCAACATTGCATCAAAGTCTTCAAAGCTCCCTTCTCTTCTAACCTGCAACAACGGCAAGATATGGACCAGTATCGTAGTCATCATGCAGTACTTCCAACATTGAAAGGTGTTCCAATGAACTTTTCTCCCACGGAAACATGGACTTGAAGAATGGCGAAATCTTACGTGGCTATCGTTTCATCTGGAATGAATCTCTTTTATTTTTCCAGCTCGAGGTTTGAGCTCATGCTTCCCAAAGGTAAAGATTCCGATGGGGCCTCCTATAATCAAATGTCATTATTTAAAAGAGTAACATGAATGTTTCAGACCGAGGCTCCGAAAGGGGCAATCGATGCAGAGGCCTCTCCAATAAGCTGCGCTCTCATCGCCTCCAGCAGTGGAGTCCTATTTATAAAAGTGTCGAAGATTTTGGCAACCATTTTCGCTATGAAAAAAAAAGGAAAAGAAGAAAAGAAAGCAATTGATTGAGGTAGGAGGTGCCGTACATCCTTCAACTCCCTAAAGGTGCCCTGGCAGTCGGAGGATTTCACTTGGACCACCTACCAGGTGAGTTTCAACAAGTACCCTGGACTTTTCTACCTTAGGTTTTCATTTCGCTGACCTCTCAATCCTCATTGCATTCCCTTTTGTGCACGTATTGGTTCATCTTGTACGACTGATAGCTTTTACCAGCAAATTAATTTTCTTTTAAATGGAAATGGAAAACCTCGAAAAAAAAGTCCCAGATCTTTATCTTAAACGAGAAATACATGAGTTGTTGGTTCGTTGGTTCCCCTTAAATTATGGACTGGACCAAAAAGATTTCATGACGTTACCTAAAGGGAAGTATGAATAGGTGAATGGCGAGAAAAAAATTAAAGGGCACAGGTAAAAGTTTGAACCATCTCGTTTTTTCCGCTTCAAAAATTCATCCGAATGTCGATAAGATCAATGAGGTCGATTCCATGCAACATTCATGTGATTGCATAATATGCCAACATAAATGTGTGAAATGGGAAAATGAGGCTACGCCAAAGGAAAGCAACAAAGAATAGAGGAAGGTCGAAATAAGAGAGCGATGCTGGCAAAAATTCATAGAAGCCACCATCAATAAGAGGAATAGAATATATCGAACAAAAAAGAGACTATACATATTTGAAAAAGACGCAAACATTCAGGTTGGAGGAACCACACACGGAGGTGTATGGGGAGGAGTACCTGCGACTTACAGACTATGAGGGCGAGGCACGAAACAGAGAATGTTTTCACAATGCTTTAAATCAGTTCTACGGTCATCTATAAATTAAGAGAGCCGAAGTTCAGCTTTTCACGAGAAGCGTCAAAGATGTCCTTCTCTTTCAAATGTATCTGACTGACGAGACTGAATTGACATTCATGTGTACGCGTCATGGATCTGGAACTTGCTTACCCTGCGATCCCTGAAGTTCCAAGTTTTTCACAATGCGGGAAGTGTCGGCTCAACGTCATTCGTCAAAATCATCCCCGGCAGTAATATGTCATTACTAGCCTTAGGTTATACAGGTAGATTAAGGTCTAATTTTCTCCGATTTCCAGCTAATGTTTTTCCTCTTCACGTTCCCATACATCAAAGAATCAAGCCGATCCACCCAGAACCCTATTCCTCTGAATGAAAGACGGCACGTGAATATTTTACGCCTGGGCGTCATAAAGGAAATCGATGTCTGCCACTTCAACCGAGTCCCACTATTATCCAGCCTTCCAGACTTCATCGATGGAAAAATAAGGGGGGGGGGGGGGGAGAGAGAGAAGGAAAGCCATGGATGTCAGGAGGTGCTAATGGATTTCGGCTCTCACACGGAGCCGCGAAGGAGGAGAGGCCGTTTCACCTTCTCTGAGGCGAGACTCTTTAAAATGTTTATTTCACTCTGACTGCTGTCTTCTTGGTTGAATTCCTTCATTCATCTCTTCTCGTTCTCGTTCCCTTCCATTTCCTACTATCTCATTCCCGGCAGCAAAAATCATCGTAGGATTAGCTGGGTGAGAATTTTCCCATATGCAGGGAATTCCCGCGAAAAATCTCTGGCGTTGAATCATGGCGTGTAAATACATAATTCGTCGGCGATTAGGTTCTCCTTCCAAATTGAATTTGACACGATTGGATGCTCGGTTTATAGCCCCATAGCGTCAAGTTTAAAGGGTAATGATGGTCGCATCATACTGCTTTCCAAAATATGCTTAACG